TGGCCTGCTGTGTTCATCCAGCTCTGTGCCTTGTTAACTCAGTTATATGGCTGCCTTTGGCACTGATACAGGCAGAGAAAACCTTGCAGACTTGCTGTTGGGTGCTGTTGTATGGGGCTCTGGTCCCAATCGCTGGTGGTTGAAGTAGTTGTTTGCCATGATCCTCTTTCTATTTTAATCTTTTATGGAATATAAATATTTCCGTGAAAATCAGCATTTGCTACCCAGCCCTAAGCGCCCTTTAACTGAGAACTGTTGAGATTCAACCATATTGCTGTCGGTCAGGAGTCACATGTAGCTCAGATCAGGGTAAGGATGTAAAATTTCCTTCCCTAAAGGACTTTAGTGAACTGGATGAATTTTGAAATCCAGTAGTGATTAGTTTCATAATCACCACTACTAGGGTTAGCTCTACACTTTGAATTGATTAACGAATTGCATTTTAGATTCCACCAGCTACTATGATAGGATTTCACTAATTAGGCAGAATTACAACGTTTTCTCATGACATCATGGAACAATGTCTTTGGGTGGAGAAATAATGTCATTGCATTAGATTATATGGAGCTAAGTCAACTCCAATAATAACTCTTTGATAACCATTACCTTGCCTCTCTGAAGTGTCAGCATGTCAAGGTATACTGGAAATGGGCAGGGAAATCTCAGTTACCATCCTTTTAAAAGCTTTGACAAGGCTCTTACTGAACCTATTGATTGTAACTGTTTCATGGGGATGAGGGATCTATCAATCCTGGCAGGCTTATGTTGGGCCGAGCAGCCGTCTCTGACCCCAAATTTGTCTCCCCTAATGTTGATGGTATTTTTAGGCCCTGTCTGTCTACCAGTCTAGTCAAGATCTGAAAATATTGTTTAATAAACTTGTTCAGAGATGGTATTACACACAACTTGAGCAGGTGGGATTTGAACCTGGGCCACCAGCTCACAGGTAGGGACACTACCACGGAGGCACAGGAGCCTCTTTTCAAGGCCTGCACATTTAATGATGATCATTGCGACATGGAAGTTAATGAGAAAGCCAATAATGACTGAAAAGACTGAGCACTTGAGGAAATTTGAGCTCACAACAAATCCTTGTTGGCTCATGGCTAACGCAACCTAATAGGTTTTTTTTGTGTAGCCATATCTAAAGTGGTAGACTGAAAACGCTAGAAATTCTCAGCTGGTCCTTGATGAAGGGTCTAGGCCCAAAACGTCAACCTTTCTGCTCCTGTGATGCTGCTTGGCCTGCAGTGTTCATCCAGCTCTGCACCTTGTTGTCTCAGTTTATTGAGTTAGTTTCACCATTCAATGAAATCATGGCTGATCTAATGATCTTACTTCATCCCCATAACCCTTGATTCTTTTACTGATCAAAAATATATATAGCTCAGCCTTGACAATAATTAATGATCCAGCCTTGACAGCCTATCTGTAGTAAATAATTCCATAGATGCATTACCCTCAGAAAGGAATTTTCTTCTCCTCCATTTTAAATGTGCAACCCCCTATTCTGTGATTATGCACTCTGGTCCTCCATTCTCCAACAAGGGGAAACATCCTTCCCATAGCTACCCTATCAAGTTTCCTTAGAATCTTGTTAATTTCTAAAGTCATCTTTCATTCTTCTAATTTCCAATGAGCACCAGCTCAACCTCTCTTTGTAAGACAGTTCCTCCATATTAGATCAGTCTAGTGAACTTCTGGACCATCTCTAATGTCAAGATATCTTTTCTTAGATAAGGGCACAAAAATATTTAGTTTTCTGGCTGAGGTATGACTAGTCATTTGTAGAGTGTAAGCAAGACAATCATACTTTTACACACCATTCCATTTGCCTTCCCTATTACTTGCTGAAACTAGATGCTAAATTTTTGAGATTCATGCACAAGGGCTCCAAAATGCCTCTGTGCTGTAGATGTCTGCAGTCTTTTTTTCAATTTGTGATGTTCAGCTCCTCTCTCCTTCTGCCAAAATGCATAACTTCACATTGTATCACATGATATTCTATTTGCCAACTGTTTTCCCCACTGGCTTTATCTGTGTATATCCTTCTGCAGACTGTCATCGCCTCTCTCTGTATTTTTCCATCATCTGTAAACTTGGCTGTAGTACACTCATTTTCCACGTCCAAACTATTAATTTAGATCTTCAATATTTGTGGCCCAGAGCTGATCCTTGCAGCCACCACTAGTTACAGACTGCTACCTTGAAAATGCCCTCCTTATCACAGCTCATTTTTTACCATTAGTTAGCCAATCCTCTTTCTATGCTAATATACTACATCCAACATCATTGATTTTTTTAATCCTAATAAGTAGCCTAATGTGTAATATTTTATCAAATGCCTTTTGAATATCCAAATATATAACATCCACTATTACCTCTTTATCTTTCCTGCTTGTTACCTCCACAAAGATTTCTATTAAATTTTTTAGGCATGATATTTCTTTCATGAAGCAATGCTGACTTTGAAATGCTCTGTTACTGATCTTTAATATTAGATTCTAACATTTTCCCAATAACAGAGGTTATGTTAATTGACCTAGATTTCACTGTTTTTAGTTTCCCTTCCTTTCTGAATAAAGTGTTACATTGGAAGTTTTCCAATCATCTGAGATTTTTCCAGAATCTAAGGATTCTTGGAAAATTTATTACCAGTGGGTATACTATCTCTGAAGTTATTTCTTTTATTATCCTAGGATGGAATACAACAGGTCTAGGGGACTTATGATCTTTAGCCCCATTAGTTTCCCTAGTATTTCTTTTGCTAGTGACAGGTATTGTATTTATTTTTTCTCCTCCTTTTTGCCCTTGATTGTTTAGTATTTTTGGAATGCTGTCAAAGTTTCCTACTGTGAAGACTGACGTTAAATATTAATTCAACTTCCCTAGTGTTTCCTGCTTCTACATTCTCATGACCCCAGCCTTGTTCCCTGACAGCCCTCTGCTAACTTTGGCTTCTCTTTCTTTTTATGTATTGAAAGAAGCTCTTGCTGTTCCTCGTAACATTAATTGCATGTTTGCTGACAGGTCCACTCATCCAAGTTGAATGACCTACGAATTTTTATCATTTTGGCTCTGATTTGCTGGCAATGATAAGAATCATAGCCCTGCAATAAGATGCTGCATTTAGGAAGGGTCAGGGACAAATGAAATATCAAATTTTGTCAATAAAGTTCTGTCCTTAACAGATCCCATTAAAGAATTCTTTTTTTAATGCAACTTACTTTAATATCAAAGCTCCAAATATATTTCATATCTAGCCATGCTGTAATGTTTTGCTATGAATTATAACTTTACAATAGCATGCTTTCTACTCACAAGGTATTACATTATTATTATTGTTTCTCAGGACTCTGCAATTAAACTGGATGATCCAGTCCAACCCGTTCCTAAAAGTAATAGTTTTGATATGATCTACAAAATAGAGGACGTTCCTCCCTGGTACCTTTGCATTTTGCTTGGATTTCAGGTATTTGCTCTATTTTTTTGCTTGCTCGTGTAATTTTTTTTTATTGCAGAATGCATAAGCACAGTACAATTTTATAAGAGTAGAATACAATCGCTTTTATTGTCACGTGCACTCGAATGAGTGCAGTGAAAAATTTGTAATATTGCCTCTTGATGCCAATATAGGTACAGGGTATTTTAAGAAACTTTAAGTATTGTTACAGAATTGAAATAGTAAAAAAAAGACTAGCATGGGAATACAGATTTTAAAAGTCCAGAATGACACTAAAAAGTGTCCTCAAAGTATTCATGTTATAGTCCTTTTTCACTGAGTTGGTGCCCACTGGGCTTCAGACCACGAGGCCTCGACATGCTGGCCTCCATCCAGGACTCATCCTCCTGGCCGCCTGGGCTCGCACTGCTCCTGCTCCGGGCTCCAGCTGCGACTTGTGTCCCAGCTCAGCCTGCGCTTGCTCTGCTCCTGCTGCAGCCGCGGCTCATTTCCGGGATTTGGCCTGCGCTCGCTCTGCTCCTGTTCCGGCCGCGGCTCGCTTCCAGGCCTCGGTCCCTCCGGCTGCGACTTGTCTCCCGTACCAGGCTGGTCTTGGACTCCATTCTCCATTTCCCCCAGATAGGGTACTTTAAGAAGTTAAAAGTTGGGAGTGGGGGCAGGTGGGGAAGAAAAATTGCAGCAACAGGAAAAAAGAGAAAGCAAGAGGAAAAGGAGCTGGTGAGCAGAAGAGCTCCAGCTGGAGGGTCTTACTCTGCTGCCATCTTAAACATGTTTTTAGTTGTTTAACAAAATACTCCTACTTCTTTGTTATAAGAAGCTCAGGAATCACTTTACACAAAAAAACAGGAATTGCTGGAGAAATACAGCAGTCTTGGCAGCATCCATGGAGAGAAAGCAGAGCCAACCTTTCAGGTCCAGTGACCCAAATCCTCTTATATCTACGTCTCTAGATAGTGTTTTAAATGCTGCCTATGGCCCGTTATGCTTGTTTTAGAATATCCATATTTTTGTCAGTGGAAATGCACTTCATATAATTTCTGCCATTGAAATCTTATGAAAAATTCAGCAAAGAGTTTTCGTTTTATTTAAAGTTACACAAGCTATCCCCCTACTGGATTTGTCTTTTCAGTCAGGTGAGACTTCTGTGAATATTCTCCAGCTTATTTCATTGCCTGATATTTTTATCAGGAAATAGCCGTGCTAGAAGCTTTTGCTGAAGAATTCTCAAAATATTGACAGAATTAAACTATTTTTCTCCTGTGGATGTTATATCCCTGGCATCATCTGTCTGTGAGGACAGAAGGTGGAAGTAATTCTGCCCTGATACAGCAAGCATTTAAAATTCTTAGATTTCTGAGATGTTGGTATTACATGCCAACATACCACCCATCGAGCAGGAGGTTGAGGGTTAACGTGAATTCCAACGGCTTCGTCACCTTGAGCAAACCCTTGGGGATAGATGGTGATTTGAGGTGAGCTGGCATATCAAAAGGGATATTGGAAGCAAATTCATTTAGCCTCATCTACTTGTAGATTTTGCATGGTACTGAGATCCTTGGCAGCCGGCTTTCCTTTCAACTGAGCATATGTCATATTTCGGTAGCAAGAAGGAACTATTGGCAGCTGTCACACCTTTGCTTGAATCACCATACTTAAGGGAAGCATTGCAAAAATTCCTGGGTGTGTTTCTGAATTTTTATAGCTTCTATCTCAATTACTTTCATTAATATGTTGTTACAATCAGCTGAGGAGGGATGAAATTGCTTTTCTATTTGCGACCTCCCTGGTTAGATGCAACAATGATCAATGGGCTGATTCTGCCACAATTCTGGCTAAGTGGGAGTTGCATTTTTTTTTGTGGGGGTGTGTGGTTTGCTTGCCATGTGACCAACCAAGTTTTCTTGCAATACAAAATAAAGACCTGCTATTTTTTGGCTGAGAGAGCAAAGTGCCACACAAAATCAGTACAAGGCAGGGATATTGTGAGCATCTGGAAAGACTCAGTGGGTCAATGCTATGACAGCAAGTGGGGAGCTGAGCTGTTACCTGGTCCAGTCCATTACCTGTGTGCATGTCCTTGTGCACACCATGTCCTTGCTGCGGCATTACGAGCAGTCCCTGATTCTGAATGGGTTCTGTTCTTGAGTATGTATGCAAATCAGAACACAATGCAGGACAATATAAAATAGCCATTTGTGAGTACAGGAACGGTTTGCACCTTGGATCTGTAAAATTACATCCCTGTATGGGATCATGTTCATAAGTCAGACATTTGTAAATTGGGGACCTTCTGTAGTTACCATTCTAGCATTGAAGTGCAAATGTGCACTATAAATGGATCGGGTATGTGCCATGAGGTTTCTTAGAAGCTGGCACATACAGGTGCCAATGATTGACAGTGTGGATTGTATATGGCTGGTGACCTTGAAGTGTTGGTGCCTGGTGTCCAACATGGAGGTCTTTCAGAGCAATCGGCATGCTGAAGTTGCCAGGTACCCGCTGTGGTTTCTGTCGTGATTTCTCAATGTCATGCTTGTTTAACTCATTTGGTAAGACGAGAAGCTGAATATTAATGAGTTCAAATGTGTCGTTAAGACATTTAACAATTTATAATCCCCGTCAATAGGCAACTCACCACTGCCTAGTGAAAAACTTGCCATGCCACTCGCCAAAAGCATAAAAGATGACATGAGACAGTCACAATGTCAAGAGAAGCCTTCCCAAAATTCTTGTGGTTCCGCCATAAATCTCATTCTAGTTCACATGAATCAGAACCCTATAAAATTCCTTCCTATATTCCTTTTACAGCATGTAGCTGGACTATTCCCTAATTAAAACATAGTTACCTTTTTTTTAATCAGAATGATGAGCCAATGAATAGGCTTTCTAAAGTGAAAACACCATTTTAGTACTGTTGGTGATAAACCAACAGGTAGAAATAATAAAGATGAAATAGCAAGCAAAGTTAAAAAGGTTAGTGTCCATGGTGTTTCAGTGGTTAGCACTGCTGCCTCAGCACCAGGGATCTGGGTTTGATTCTATCCTTGGGTGACTGTGTGGAGTCTGCACATTCTCCCTGTGTCTGCTTGGGTTTCCTTCCATAGACCAAAGACATGCAAGTTAGGGGGAATTAGCCATGTTAACTTGCCCATAGTATCCAGAAATGTGCAGGCTAGATGGATTAGCCATGGCAAATGCAGTGTTACAGGGTTATAGGGTAGGGAGGTGGGTCTGGGAGGGATGCTGTTCAGAGGGTTGATGTGGACTTGATGGGCTGCTTCCACACTGTATTGATTCTATGAATGGAAGGAATGTACAGTTTAAGGTCCTGAGGTGTTTATGAGGTAGAGACCATGGCTGTTCAGTTGGTATCTTAAATATTGCAGATATCCCTTTTTTCAAGCCCTTGTTCTGATGTTTTTCTCCAGTCAGTACAGTGCTTTTCCTGTTTAAAGCAGAGACCACTGATTCTTGTTCCCTTACTTGTTCTAGTGACAAAAATCCATCTCTCCCATTCTACCACAAGCTTTTTTTAATACAAGTGTTTTTTATTTCCATCCGATCAGCAGAATTTTGTTATTGTTTGCTAATTGTAGACAAAGTTTAGTCTCCAATATGTGAAAATCCCCATAAAAATATAATTGTATAGGATTAAACAGCCATTTTGCACCTTGGGATAAATTAATATAGACTTAATTTTACAAACGTATGCTGAGGGAAACTCTTTGTAAACTCTACTAAGATTTCTGCCTCGTACAGTCTCATTGACAATTTATGGTCTTAATGATCATATTTTATTCAATATCTTTACAGTTCTCTTGACATTGGCCATCTTAGCACTTACATCATACATTCATACCAATATGTCCTATGCATGCTCTGAAAGTATCTTTTTTATTCTCATTAGTTGTGGAACATTTGCCATCACTGTAAAGCTAATGATGTCTCCTCCTTATTTTCTTGTCACTCTAAGACTGCTAATTCAAGCTGTCATGGTCATCAAGCTTTTCAACTTGCATTCTTAACCATTTCAATGGGAACCTAGCTGCACATGGCATCATGCCAATGATGATTAGACAGAGTGCTCATAGCTTTTGAATAGACAAAAGTAGTCATCTGTATATATTTTAATTGTCAATCTTAATCCAGTGTCTCCTTTCAGTGTAAATCAAAATGGGAGAATCAAGCCTTTTCATGCCTGACTGAATTGAATATTTTCACTGCCTTACAATAAAAATATTAATTTCAGTTCACATGGTTTTATGTACTTTATGTTGATTTCATTAACCTTTTTGTGTGATTGGATGATTGTTGTCACCATTATAAGTTAATGTTTTGTCCCTTTTTCTTTTAAAACATTTGTGTCTATGAAAGTTCCAAGTGCTAAAATCAGACAATGGTATTTGAAAATTAGTGGACAATATATTATCATCCTGATGACAATCTGAAGTAATTTTATTCATTCAATCACAAGGGTGAAACATAAGTATATTTAACTTCTTTGAAATTTTGGTTTTCCAGCACTATTTGACTTGCTTTAGTGGGACCATAGCTGTACCTTTCCTTCTGGCTGAAGCACTCTGTGTTGCAAAAGATCAGCACACTGTTAGTCAACTGATTGGTACTATCTTCACATGTGTAGGAATTACAACTCTTATTCAGACAACATTTGGATGCAGGTTTGTAACATTCACAATTATATGTATAATATAATTTCTTAGTTTCTTTTAAGATCTGAATGCTTGCATTCCACTATCTGTTAATTTATAAAATTAGAGAAAGTTACTGAAAGAATACATTTTTAGCCGATATTTAAGCAATAATATACTTGGATTCTTGAGGATCATATTAATTATGAGACACAGGTTTTAAGACGTTTTTGGAGTTGCTTTTCGTTAATAACCACTCAGCAACATACATTTTGTTCTCCTATTTGTTTGACAATTCGATGTTTTGTGTTGGCAATGGTTGACTGCTGCAGAATCTTGTCAATGTTTTTAGATTTTCCTGTCTAACAAATCTTTTAAGAATGAGTTTGCATTCAGGTTAGACTTTCTGGATGTCCTGTAGCATTGTACAAACAAAACATTACTTTTCAATTGTAGTCAGTGCTTTTTTGAGTGTGTTGACAGGAGGCTCATGATTTTCTGGTCAATGTTCTTTCCTTTTAATTAGCGCTGCTAAAAGTCAGTTGGACATCCATTTATTGTTTCTGTAGACCTACATCGCCGGTTTGGCAGTTCTATCACAATCCCAGAGGAGACTACCAAATTTAAATTATGATCCTGCTGTGGACCAGTCACTTTTTTTTTCATGTCCGCAAACTGTGAAAACCCACAAAATCCTAAGATTATAAAGACCTAAGATTCCAAGGTTTTGTACAAACAGCAAGAAACTTTGTATCGCTGTTCTAACTTTACAATATCCATGCAATTTATTTTCAACATCCAAAATTAGCTAAAGGTAAAATCTGTGACAGACACATTTGTTGTTCAGCACTCCACTGAGCAAATCAAATCGCTGATATAGTCAAGGGTTGTTCAGCAATCCCTACCGTCTACATCAAACATTAATGACATTGTATCATTTAATCTCATACAAAACGTACATCTTCGACAACCCACATTTTCTCTTGCTCAAATCTAGTATTTTCAATATCTAAAATTCCCTGACCCCGATGTAATTACTTACCCCATTTTAAGTCTTTTGAATATTTTAAATGAAACCCATTATTTAGACTGTAGCTTTGTTTTTCTTTGTGTCTTCATACAGTATCTGACCAATTGCAGGCATCAGACAAAAAGAAAGAGCAGTTATACACCAATAAATACAAAGAAACACAGCCAATTTGAAGAGTGTTTTGTGAAGTATTGTACTTAAAGATTTGTTTTCTCAGTTGTTGCTTGACCAAAGGAAATATAAATGTCAGCTGAGTTAGTAATTGCAACAATTCCCCTTGGAGTGATGTAAGAAAGACCAAGAGCGAAAGAGCAAGTAAGAAAAAGCAAAGGGCATGGTGGCTCAGTGGTTAGCACTGCTGCCTCACAGCTCCAGGGACCTGGGCTCAATTCCAGCCTTGGGCAACTGTCTGTGTGGAGTCTGCACATTCTCCCTGTGTCTGCATGGGTTTCCTCCAGGTGTACCAGTTTCCTCCCACAGTCCAAAGATGTGCAAGTTCAGGGGATTGGCCGTGCTAAATTGCCCATAGGGATGTGTAGATTAGGTGGGTTATAGGGGGATGGGTCTGGGTGGGATGCTCTGAGGTTCAGTGTGGACTTGTTGGGCCAAAGGACCTGTTTCCATGCTGTAGGAATTTGATGATTCTAAAAAGAAAAGTCTGCATCTATATTGCTTTTCCTGCTCCAAGTGCAGCATTTTTTGTTATTACACCATCATTCCCAATGATCTCCATCTCATTGTCGCCTGCATCTGCCCCCATGCACTTATTGAGATAGCTTAGGCACCTCGAACTTTGATTGCAGATGGTTAGAGAAATTAAGGCTTTAAGCACTAAATTAAATCTGAAAGAACTGATACATCTGCGGTACCCAAATTAGAATCATTTTTTTTCTTATCATTAATCATGATATCTGCATACCAAAAATCATCCTGTACATCTAACACTAACCCACTAACAAAAAAGAATAACTTTATCTTTTCCATGCAACATTACTTTGTGGATAGTTGAAGATTGAACAGATCTGTTGTTAATATTTTGTCTCAGATGAAATGTCCTCCTCCTTCTACTGCTTCAGCAAACTGCATTTGAAAACAGGCTTTCTTTAGGCATGCAGGAAACTTATGGAATCCTGATTTGCAGCTTCCCTGAAATTATTGATTCTCTTGTAGCTAGTGACTCAGACAAATTAAAATTATGTCCAAATGTCTCATTACCACTTACATTCTTTCTTACAATTCACATTCGCATTATTTTTTTCGTAACAAATATGTGATGCTTAGGATTGACTTTTGTAGCCACTAAACTTTAAAGCAATATTGGGATTAGTTGCAAAGTATAGTAGCATTCTGATGATGCCTATACAGCAACAGTGTAGCTATGTTTTGTGCTCTAGCACAATGAGTTTTACGTAGCAAGACAAAAAGCCTCATTGGTACTTATCAGTTTATTTCATTTACCACCACATTATACAAGCATCACATGCAACAATGCAGAATCAGGTTTTTATTGAGACTTTGCAGTATATTATCCAATAGTTGGAGTACATTGGGCTTTACTAAAATAACCACAATACAATATGAATATTTTTGGTTTATGATCTCACGTGTATTGATTCCCAAAGGGATCTCAACACACCCCTCAATCCCTTGTGTGCACGATACATATTTTTGTTCACTTTCAACCAGTATACTAATTCTATCTTTCTTCTCGACCCCTCAAGCACGCTACCACTGGATCTTAATATACCTATGAAACATGAAATGACATCAGAGTAACAAGATGGTGCTAACAAATATATACATAATGTTTGATTATTTTCTAGCCATTCTGCTACACTGTTCACACAACCCTCTAAAGCTTCATGGTTGTACTATCCTCTCAAACACTTGAGAATCATTTTATTATGATAGATACAAGTAACCGGATTAATATCTTCCAGATAGTAGAGTGGATGTTTGAATATCACTTTTCCTCCAGCCTCTTAACCTGCAGAAGTCCATGCCTTCAACTCATTTCCACAATTTATCCCAAACTCAGCAACAAGCTGATACAATTCATGACACAGAATTTAATTAGGCCCATGGGATCAGACTCTTAAAATTGTTGTGATGCAGTTGGAGGCTATTTTACCACACGTCTGTGCAGAATCTGAGTATTCAAACTTCATGTCAATCTCTTGCCTTTTCCCTGTAACTCTGCACATTGTTGCTATTTAAATAATCATCCAATACCTCTTCATTGCCTCAACTGAATCTGCCTCCACCAGACTTACAGGCCATTGCAAAACGCTTGAAAACCATGCCTCTTTGTTCTTGATCTGCTCATGGTGAGAACAGTTTCTCTGGATCAACTCTGTCCATAATTTTGAAATTTTCCATTTAACTCACCTTTTAGCCTTCCTCTCTCCAAGGAATTCTACTTTTCCACTCTTTCCCCATAACTGAAATGTCTCATCCCTGGAACAATTTTAATAACGTTCTTTTGCACTCTTTCCAATACAATCACATCCTTATAGTGTAGTGTCCAGAATGGTATTCAATACTCCAGCTGAGGTCTAAACAGTGTTTCATGTAAGCTCATCATATCTTCCCTGTTCATGAATTCTATGCCACTATTTATGGAGCCTAGAATACAGCTCTCCTTATCTGTCTTTCAATGATTTGTGTACATATATACCAAGGTCTCTCTACTCTTGCCTTTTACCCTTTTAGAATAGTGCCCTTTCATTAGAACAAAAACAGAACTTGCTGGAGAAAGTGAGCAGGTCAGTCAGCACCAGTGGAAGGAAAGGAGATTTAACATTTCTGGTCCAATAACCCTTCTTCAGAAGGTTCTCTGCTTTCTCTTCACAGATGTTGCCAGGACAACTGACTTTCTCCAGGAATTTCTGTTTTTATTTCAGATTTCCATCATCCACAGTTCCTTGTTTTGTTTTATCCTTTCATAATATAGTGTCTCTTCATGTTCTTTGCACCAAAGAGCATTTCCTCAGACATCTCCATATTGAACTACTTCTGCCACCTATCAACCCAATGTAGCAATGTCTCAATATTCTTCAAGTTCTACCTTGTCCTTAAAGTCTACAATCCTCTCAAGTACTTATAATGCTTGCAAACTCGCTCACCATGATTTAGATCATTTAATCTTTTCATGAAAAGCAAGTGTTCCAATACTGACCCCTGGGGTATTCTACTACAAACTTTACTACAACTTGAAAAATACCCATGAAGCATTACTCTGTTGCCTATCCTGCAGACAATTTTGTATCCACTTTGCTACTGTTCCTTTTATTTCATGACTTTTCCCAAATTGGTGTGTGGCACTGTATTGAATATCTTTTGCAAGTCCATGAATACCACATCAACAGCCTTTCCCATAGTAATCCTCCCTGTTTTTTGAGGAGGTAACACAGAAAAATTAGTTAGAAATGATTTTCCCTAAACAATTCCATGCAGAGTCTTTTGAAACAAATCACATTTTTCCATGTGATTACTAATAATATCCTAAATAACTATCATGAGGCAGGGGATTTGTGAGTAGACTACTTGTCACATTATGGACTCCATGCAATTCTCCCAATTGCAAAGTAGAGGATGGCCTTCTTAACCAGGTGCCAATTGTGGCCTTCAAGTGGTCAAATAGGGCCTCCTCTGGCATTCTACTTGTGTCACAGGGGAAAATCGCCCAATTAAAGCTTGTGGCATATCTCTGGTCCCAGATAAAATGTAGGGACTTCGAAATGGGCATCCCATGGCCAATGGAGAGTCATCTCAGCAGAAATACACCTTGGCAAGATGGACTGCACTTAATTGGTTGCAGGACAGCTTCAATGTTGCTGTTCCGCTTGAAAATCTAACAATCTTACTTGTTTGTAGAGCCACTGTTGGGATTCTGAACTTCTATTCTCTGATTTGGCTGATAGTTCTTGGAGGTGAGATCTCTACTCTTAAAAGGGACAGCCCTGACATCAGGTAGATAATTGCCACAGATTTGAGCTGGAGGTCTCAGAAATGAGCTGAGGCAGGGATTCTCCGTGGCTTTCTGGCCTCTCATATAGGTGACCGCCATGTGATTATGTTCAGCTTGTCAATAGGTACACAAATTGCCTGGAATATCATGGTATGCAGATAGCACACATTTTCATTTCCATAAAATATAACTGAAATTTTGGCCCTTTCGGGAAAAAAAATTATGCACCTTGTCTGATTATGCTAACTTTGCTAAATTTTCATTTGCCTAGGCTTCCCCTATTTCAAGCAAGTGCATTTGCCTTTCTTGTTCCTGCCAGAGCGATACTTGCCCTGGACAAATGGAAGTGTCCTACTGAAGGTACTTGAATCATATTTAAATGAATTATACAAGCAAAGCCTATATTTGAATATCATTTTTTATATTTCAGTCTAATCAATTAATATGATTTTTAACATGGACTTGACTTGTGTGCTATGACAATGCTTGATCTGAAATGAATCAGAAAATTCCTACAATGTGGAAGCAGGCCATTCAGCCCATTGAGTCCACACCAACCCTCTGAAGAGCATCGCACCCAGATACACCCCCTACCCTATCCCTGTAACTCTGCATTTCCCAAGGCTAATCCACCTAGCCTGTACCTCCCTGGACACTATGGGCAATTTAGCATGGCCAATCCACCTAATCTGCACATCTTTGGACTGTGGGAGGAAACTGGAGCACCCAGAGGAAACCCATGAAGACATGGGGAGAACGTGCAAACTCCACACAGACAGTCATAGAGATATACAGCATGGAAACAGACCCTCGGTCCAACTCGTCCATGCCAACCAGAATATCCTACATAGATCTAGTCCCATTGCCAGTATTTGGCCTATATCTCTCTGAATCCTGCCCATTCATATACCCATCCATTTGTAATTGTACCCGCATCTACCACTTCCTTTGGTAGCTCATTCCTACACGCATCATCCTCTGCGTGAAAATGTTGCCCCTTAGGCAGCTTTTATAACTTTCCCCTCTCATCTTAAACCTAGGCCCTCTGGTTTTGGACTTGCCCACCCTGAGGAAAAGACCTTGCCTATTTACCCTTTCTATGCCCCTCATGATTTTAGAAACGTCTATAAGGTCACCCCCTCAGCCTCCATTGCTCCAGGGAAAAAAAAAACCAGCCTATTCAACTTTTCTCTTGTAGCTCAAAACTTCCAACCATGGCAACATCCTCATAAATCTTTTCTGAACGCTTTCAAGTTTCACAACATCCTTCCTATAGGAGGGAAAGCAGAATTGCATGCAATACTCCAGAAGTGGCTGAACCGATGTCCTGTACAGTCACAACATGACCTCGCAACTCCTATACTCAATGCAATGACCAATAAAGGCAAGTGTACCAAATGCCTTCTTCACTATCCTATCTACCTGTGACTCCACTTTCAACTGTCCGAGGCTGGAATCAAACCCTGGTCGCTGCCACAATGAAGCGGCAGTGCTAACCACTGAGCCATTGTGCTGCCCCAAATATTAAATGCATTGTCAAAGATGGTCAGGACTTCAACACAATCAGTCACTACTTTCATGATAGAAATGTTCATATCTGATTTATTTTTGTGCATGTTTTTAATTTGATGGCACAAATCTCATTTCTAGGCTCCTGTTTATTTCTCCTTGACTGTACATTTAATCATTTTGTACCATTGTTACATCTCTTTGAATGAGGAACATTTGAATACGACGGCCTCACTGATTTGTAGCTGGCCAACTTCCATGTTACTCCCAAAACTTGCTATTGTAGTGCATCCAAACAATCCATTAAGTGAAAACTGAAAGAACTGCGGATGCTGTAAATCAGGAACAAAAACAGAAGTTGCTGGAAAAGCTCAGCAGGTCTGGCAACTGCTCACAACAGTTCTTATGAAGGGTTACCTGACCTGAAACATTAACTCTGATTTTGTTTTTCTTCTCAGATGC